TCTTCCTCTTCTTCTTCTTCCTCCTTCTTCCTCCTCCCCCTCCTCCTCCTCCTCCTCCTTCTTCTTCTCCTTCTCCTCTTTCTCCTTCTCCTTCTCCTTTTCTTTTCTTCTTCTTCTCCTTCTCCTTCTCCTTCTTCCTCTATTTGAGACAGAATCTCACTGTGTAGTTCAGGCTAGCTTTGAACTTACTATGTAGCACAAACTGGCCTTGAACTCATGACAATCCTCCTATCTCAGCCTCCTGAGTGCTGGGATTACAAGCATATGCTGCCACAGCTAGCATTTGTCTTCATTCTTGATTTCAAGAAAATGCTTTCAGTTTTAAAACTTTCAGTGAGCATTTGATATGTTTCCTAAGTACACCATTATTAGGTTAAAGAAGTCATATTGTACTCCTCATCTGGTGATAGTAACACATAGCTATTCAATTATATTTTCTATGTCTATTAAGGTACATAATTTTGTGCTATAATATTATCACCAGGCCATTAAATTAATTGAAGTTCCAGTATTAATAGTTCAACTTAGATAAACCTAACATAATAGTAGTAGAATTATTTTATTCATTGTGATTTCTCTTTGCTAATATTTTGTTTAGTATCCTTGCATCTTGCATTTATAAGAGTGGTCAGCCTTTTTGTGCTGTTCTTATTTTTTTATATCAAAGTCATGTTAGTTTCACAAATTATATTGGGAAATGTTTTTCATTTTATGTTCTTCGCCTTTTGGGAGAATTTGGACCTTGGGTATTTGATCAACTTCACTGATGAGCCCATCGAATTTATAGAATCATTTTGGGGAAGAGTTTTGATTGCTAATTTGAGTTTTTTAATGCCCATAAGATTATTGTTTTCCATTTACTTTTATATCAGTTTGACTTGTTTTGCTTTTTTATATAAATTCATCCACTTAATCTAATTTTCAAATTAATATATGCAAATAATTCACAATATTCTCAAACCCTTTAAAAATGCCTAGCAACTTGGGCCAGCAAGAGAGCTCAGCCAACTAAAGCGCCTATTTAGGCAAGCTTAGGCAAGCACAGAGACCGCGGTAACAGCCCCGGCACCACATGTCACTCCAGCCCCACCCCCAAGGTGGGCTGAGCCATTTGGAGTCCAGGCGTAGTGGCGCATGCCTGCAATCCTAGCTCTAGGGAGGCTGAAAGTAGGGGATCACCACGAGTCTGAGCTGCATAGTGAGACACTGCAACACTCAAATACAATAACAACAACAAAAAAGTCCAGGAACCGTAATTTAGCTTCTCTTTCATTCTTTTTTTTTATTTTTTTTTTATTTTTCAACAAATAATACACTGCATATGTTCTTCTTAGTGGTTAATTGCTGTACAAGATGCGGACTTGTGATCCTATTTACAAACACCATTAGAACAAATCATTCTATTCATTAACAGAATGCAACTATATATCTATCCCAACCACTTTGAATACACAGATACAAAATGGACATTCATCTGTATACCCCATTTTTTCTAAGTTCCGTTATTGAATATTATAGGTGTGTAAACTCAGCAAAATATTCTAAAAGAGTCCAGTAGCCCATAATAGCATTGGGTCTTCTGTTTAACTGGCAATGTCAGAAATTATTGACCTGAGTCCCCCACAGCTCAACTTAACAGCATGGCTTTATTTCTTATAATTTCGTCTTCATACTTTTCTGCTGGATGGTTAAGACCAAGGTAAAGCAGGACCTATGCAACAAGAGTTGTAGCTTTTTGGTCTGAGAAGGCTCTTTCACTCTTAACACAATTAATTTCCCAAAAAGGCTCTATAAGAATCTGACCTACTGTCAGGCAAAAAGTGTGAATTGAGTTGAAGAACAGAGAAGGAAAGTCCTGGCAGGCTCACAAGCTTCAAGCAGTTGGCAAAGGGCAGCAACGTGGGCTTCTCCACACAACCGAGTGATTCAATTTCCAAGAATACTTCACCCTAAAATACAGCATTCACTCAGCTGGAGCTGAATACTCGAAGGTCTGGAGTGTTTCTGCCTCATGCTGCACCATTTACTTGGTGGGCGCAGAGCTCCACCTCCCTAGGAGGACAGGTCCTTCTGCAGGTGCCTCTTCCGTGCACTTGGTTGTGCTCCTCGTTTCCCACCTTGTTCTCCTTTGCTGCACCTCAAATTTATGAGGCAGCCCCCTCCACCTGCCTCTGTCCTGCAGGGTCTCCTTGCCCTACCTGCCTCACCATGCATTGAATTCTATTTGTCTGCCTATTGTGGAACAGTTTTCCACCCTGTAAGCCTTGCTCTTTTAGGCCTTTCTTGGAAAGATATTAATGGCTAGAGATGGAGGATTTTCAAGTCAGACAGACACTGACTCAACTCTGCCCCTGAGGCTAAACAGCAGTGTGCACTGGGATAAACCACCTTAACAAGCCCTTGGGCTTCATCCAGAGAATAATACCGATGTTTTTTGCTTAATAGCAGTGGGACAACTTAACAGGAACATACACCTAAAAGCACTGATTTAAAGCCCAGTGACCATTGTATAATCCCACTTTTAAATGCCCTGAGACACAAAAATAAGTGGGCAGAGGCAAGGAAAATATGAGCAAGCTTTTCTTATAAGGAGAACTGTGGAACTGACTAATGTGTTACAAGGCCTATAGGAATAGGGATGATTATTTCTCCGTAAGCCTGTTTCCAGGGCAGGGGTCTGGCAGCTGTTATTCTTGTTCTACACTCCATCATTTCAAGTTTCTCCAACTGGAAAAGGCAGAACCACCCTGCTGGAAACTAGTTCCGTTTCCAGTTTCCACCCAGTTTCTATGTCTGTGCACCTATGTCAGTGAAGATGTTAAACAGTTATACCCCAGTTTTTCATCCTTAAGCCATGTTCTTTCCTGAAAAGAGTATTTATGTCTTTATCTATTTGACCTCTGAGCTGATTCCAAGTGTGGGAAGGGAAGAGCTCTTGCAGCCAGCACCTGCGGGACCTGAGAGAACCGCCATCTTTGACAACAAGCAGCAGAGCTGATGAAGACAGCTGCCTCTGAGCCCCTGGAGGAGGGCCCTCTGGCTGTCATCCATCCTGCTGCAGTCTCTCTGGCTTCTCTAGGCCACAGCCCAGTCCTGGGACTCCTCCTAGAAGAACACTTTCAACACATGTTCAGCACTCTGCACTCAAGAACCTCGGTCTGCTATGAAGGCCCACAAGCCACCCTCTAACTGAAGCCTGAAGTATGGGACAGGGAAATAGAACACACAACTTTCGTCCAGGAATTCAAGGGGAAAGATGAGACCTTGTGACTCTGGTTAGCAGCACATAGACTATCTGGTTGCTCCAGTCTTTCCAGTTCTGTGCAACAAGGATTCTGCAAAAATGATTAAATGTCTGAAATGAATGATTGCATGGTGGTTTCATGGTGGACCATTGCTGTTTAGTCCCAAGGGGTGGGTATATATTAGGGTTTAGACATCACAGGCACTGGAACTTTCTCACATTCACTTGTGGTGTGGCTCCATTTCCATACTAACTTGAGCCCAGTCTGCTTAAAGATGAAAAACACCTCTTATCTGTTGAGCACTGCAGGACCAGAGTGAACAGGGAGAAGCAGCTGGCTGGTGGGACCACTGAACATGTTCTTGCTTCAGAGGAAACTAATTGCCTGTGGCGCACTTGTACAAAAGCACACATTGTGACGACTGTTGGTTACAGCCTACTCAGCATTAGACATGGCTCAGCTAGGAGTGCCAGCCTGCCTTGGGAGCCTGCAACCCAACTCCAGACTAACCATTTCCACCTCCAAGCAGGCATAGGAGTCTGGGCACCAGGGCTGGCTTTCTGTCTAAGCCCTTGAGAGACAGTAAGAAAAAGGTGGGGGTGTAGGCTGAACATGTGAGAAAGAATTTGGGCCACAAATTATGATACCATTTGTCAAGAATCTGGACTAGAAAGCCAGGATATCTTTGGAAGTTAACAACTTTAGTTTTCTCAATTCTTTGTTGTGTACTCACCAAGCTCTCCATTAGTCCAGACACCAACTTTCTAGATGTTCACTTGGGGATACTGCCTACCGCCATGCCCTGGGCTGGCCCTGACTCAGTGGGCCACTCAGGAAAGATGCTGAGTACTGTCTCTACAGGTCTCTCCTCTTTGAGTTTATACTAGTTGGATTATGTCACTCTTTAAATATGGCCTCGGGGGGCCTGGCCCTAGCTCAGTTCTTTGGGGCCAGGGAGATAGCTCAGTGGAATAAGTGCTTCCCTGGCAAGCGCAAGGGCCTGAGTTCAATCCCTGGTTCTGCCCCCCCCCAAAAAAAAATATATATAGCCTCAGAACTGACAATGAAATCTATTCTATTCAATGCAGAATAAGCACACACACACACACACACACACACACACACACACACCACTATCTTTTTGAAAAAGTTCTCACTATGTAATTCAAGCTGGCCTTGAACTCACTATGTAGCCCAAATTTGCCTTTAGCTTGTATTGATCCTCTTGCTTCAGTCTTCTGAGTGCTAGGATTATAGGTGCATGCACCATGCTTTCCTCTCCATCTATTTAATAAAATATAAACCTAGCACTCACATCACCCTCTCATTAGATTTTCTGTCCACATGAGGCAAAATAGCTTGGGAGGAGGAGTTGAAGTTTGGGTTGAGGCTTGGAGTCAGCTAATACTGAAGTCAAGTAGTACTGAGTTTTGAGTCATTCATTCCATCTCTTACCTAGGGCTAAGTAAATTGTTTATCTGTTAGGATTTTTCATTGTACCATGAAGACATTGGAAGAAGAACTGGGATAAGGCATGTGCAGAGTCTGATTCACACACAGCTCATCTGGTGCAAGCTGGCCTGCATGTCATTGTCACTGCTAGCCTGTCCAAGACCCTGAAGTCTTCAGGTGTGCTGTTGTTCAGCTCACCTCCCAAATGTTCTTGACATGGGTAGAGGTCTCTCCACATCTAGATCATCATTCAGTCTGTTCTTAGGGATCCTGACTCTGTTATATAATTGACATTCTTCTCAGCTCAGTGTCTTCAGGACTTGTGTTCATTCCTCCCAAGGCCTCCTGTGCTCACAGGGGGAACTGTGGAAGGTGACGGAATCATGGAGGCTGGCAGCTGTCTAGGTGGTAGGAGGCGGGGCCTGGGTGCAAGGGGCGGTGCCTGGGTGCAGGGGGCGGTGCCTGGGTGCAAGGGGCGGGGCCTGGGTGGGAGAGGTGGGGCTTGGGTCGATGACACAGGCCCAGACGGAAAAGGCGGGACCTGGGTGGAAGAGGCGGGTCACTGGGGACCTGGTCTGGGAAGGTTCATCTCCCTTCCTTCCTCTTCCGTAGCTGTTTCTCAGCAGCCTTGAGGAAAGCGGCTCTCCTCTATCAGAGTCTTCCGTCACGCCATTTCTGCCTTGGAGCACAGATGAACTGAAATGTCCAAAACTATGAGCTCAGAACACTCCTCCGTTAAGTTGCAGCTGCTGGCTCTTGCCTCAGTGATGAGGAGAGCGACCACAGCGGGAATGAGACACCTCAAGGCAGAGGCTTTAACCCTGGTTTCCTTGTACATAGAATTGAGGGGTTTTTTGGTTTTGTTTTTGTTTCTTAATGTATCTGGTACGGGGTCTCACTGAGCAGCTCGGATCAGACTCGTAGTGATCCTCCTGCTGTCAGCCTCTGCAGCGCTGGGATTACAGGCTTGCGCCACCACGCCAGGACTCAGTGGCCGGCTCAGCGCGCCGGGGGTGGGACTGGCACTTCATGTGGTGCCCAGGATCGAACCGCAGTCCCTGCTCTTGCTTAAGCAGGCACTTAGTCCGCTGAGCTACCTCGCTGGTCCCTGGTATTGAGTTTTTGATTATACTCTTTGATCGGGCTCCTTCAACCAAACCTAATCTTATAAAATTTCTAAACTACTTTATTAAGTCACCTTTGAGTGAAATTCCAGCTACAATTTCCTTATTCTTTTCTTTTTTATTCTTATTATTTTCTTTAGAAAACATGCTATGTTGTCACAGTAGATGAGGAATTCATTTTTTCATTAAGTTCCTACACACATAACATGTATTCTGTACAAGTCTTAAATCTGTAATGTATTGGTTACAATCAGTTAATGTTTCACACTTTAACTGAATAATAGCAAAGATTTGCGAGAGAAATGATATTTTACTTACAGTTTAAAATTGCAATGAGTTAGAAAAGTTTGTCTACTTGTTTCTATATAGCATTAATTTGTCATTTGTTGTTGTTGCTGTTAGCTATAGGTCAAAAGCAAAGAGCATAGATCTATTAATGAAAATTGAGCATTTGCCCTTCCATTTATGGCCTACACAGCTTCAGACTGATCCCATTAGGACTCTCAGATTAGCTCACAGAGGACCACATGACAGGTGGAGAGGGGGCGGGGTCACCAGGTTTACTGCGCTCCTGAGTCAAGGCTGGCTTTTCTGACAATGCACATTTCAAAGACAGCTGCTTGCCAGAGGGCTCAGAAATGTCTGAGGGGCAGGCAGAATACGCATGGTGTTTTGAGGCTCAATTTTAAAATGGTCCTCAAAATTCATGTTCATTTGCATATGCTCCAGGTGGCCCCTTTGCCCTCGGGTGACTGAAGCCCATGATTATGCTGGGCCACCACACCTATGATTCAGTTATAGTCTCTGGCAAAAGGAATCTTGCTGAATAACAAAAAAATATTCTGGAAGGGTCTGGTGTAAGTGGAACCTGGAAATGCGCTTTTCTCACAGGCTCCCTCATGGCCCCGAGACTGCTGAGCCAGGGGCCTTTGCAAATCCCACCATGCTGCATGTGGGGAAGTGCTGGTCACTTTCCTGTTTCTCCATCCAACCCTTTTCCATGGGATGGGAAAATACCTGACTTTTCAAACTCAGGTCAACGTAAAGAAAAGACACGGAACTTGTGATGCCATGTTTCTGATGATTCATCTTAAAAATTTTAGGGTAGAGTGCTTCCAGATAAGTCAAACCAAGATTTCAAAACTGGATGTTGTTCTTTTCCCACCGGTGAGGGGTAGCTTGAGGTCTGCAAGATGTCCAGTTTCCCTGCTGCTGTCACTTCCCAGCTAGTGAGTCTGGCCATTTAGGCTGGCCTGTCATCCAAAGGCATCCACTAGGGTCTGTGCTCCTGGGGCCAGGAACTCAGCCACTGCTAGTGTTGACAAATCATGTCGCCCTGAACCCCCACCCCCAGCCTGAAATGAGGCCATCAGACTGGGATCAGAAATAAAGTCTGGACTGAGACTTAGGGATTTCACCATGTGTAAACTGAAACACTACTGGAGACAAACCCCTTGCCAGTGGGAATGAGGCTTTGCCGGGAGCTTGATCTGAAATCAGTGCAGACAAAGAAATGAGAGAAGGGTTGCACAGTGATGAAGACGACCTGGAGAGGGGTCTCAAATCCTACTTGGTCAAGACAGGAGTGGGGCAGGATGTTATTTCAAGACAGTCAAAAAGTTATTTATTCAGGGGAATCCCAGTGATCACGTTATCTCAAAGTTACTCCTGGTTGCTCATGCTTATCCTGAGATTTGCTATTAACCTGGATTGTGAGTGGGGCATGGAATCAAATGGGAAACATCTGTTAGAACTAAATGTGAAAATCATGCCGTTTTGATTATTTTGCTCACGCTATAATCTTGAAAGAGAGAACTGAGTGATTATCCAAATATAGTTGCATTTAGTTTTTGCAGAGTGTAGGTGTGCCTCGGCTCTGTATTCCAAAAGAAAGCAATCTTTTCTGTTAGAACCCTTTGGGTCACCCATAGCTGTTAGCTCTCCTGCTTTTTATTTTTTTCCTAAGGAGATACAGGCACGTTGTGGGCCTTTCCCAAGCTGCTGCAGATGATTGATGGCTGGGCTCTTTTCAAGCCCAGTAATGAGGGGTGTCTGAAGCTTGGGTAACCATATCCTATCGACTTTAAGACCACTGCCAACATATTCACAGCAGAGAGATTTGGCAACTTTGTTTAATCATAGCAAAGGGATTACAAAGTGCAAAACAAGCCCACATTGCTATGAAAGTGGCTCGGGCTAAGAAGGCGTGGAGGCTCATTCCTTCTCACAGGTGATGGGTGTCACACACACTGCACCCCCTTCACCTTGGCCAAAGTGAGAGGCACTTGTAGCACATAGTAGAGAGAAGACATCCTGGAAATTGACTTTGGATCATAGCCACAGAAAGCTGGGGACCTCTGGCCCCAGAATGGGCAGTCTCAAGCCACAATGCCCAGATTTTTCTGGTGCAGGAAAAGTCATAGCAACCGTCTCACTGATGAGATGCTGAGAGAGACAGGCCAAGGGGTAAACGTAGAAGCTGCCCCTGCCGCTTTGCAGGGGGAATTTGTAGTTGTCTCTAATGATTTACTTACCAATAATAATAATAATAATAATAATAATAATTAAAAAATACAGCCTGTGGTAAGAGCAATGTTTCCCTCACCATTCTACAAGTGTTTTAGGATCCTTGCAGGAATTGGGATGATTTGTGACTAGTGCTGAACTGCATTTTTTTTTTCATTCAACCTCAGCATTAGAGGTGCTTTTCTCTTCTAGAAATAGAGAGGCTCCAAGGTGAAATTTGGGGTCCTTCTGTTGTACAAGGTGCAAGAAATAAGAGAGACCCTGTTCCCCTGTTCCCTTTGCACTCAGCCACATAACTTCCCACAGTGAAAGGATAACACAAAACCCATAATGTTCAGCACAAGTTTCTATTAGGCAACGTTTGTCACTAAAAAGTGCAAATGCAGACTCCTGCGTAAATCTGATTTGCCATGCTAGGCCAAGCTTATTTTATTACATACATTCTGCATTCTAAGAACTAATAATTTCATATTGTAAACATTAAGCATACAGAGTTAAAATTCAAGGCCACATCACATCTCTGATTGTCTCCTTTTCTGTCATGTGTCTTTGGCTGACCGAGATCAACTCGTAGTGTATAAATGCATAAGTTATATAATTATTATATAAAAAGGAAAAAAAAACCCATTGACTTGTATACTTCGTTCTGACAAACGCACAGCGTTCGCGACTCAAAAAGGCAACCTGGAGCCCACCTACTCCAAATGCACATGCGATCTCTGATTGTGGTGGCCACGGAGGCCATCTCTGACCTGACCCTGTGGGGACAGAGCCCCAGAATGCTGAGGTCCTGAATGTTTCTTTTAAATATCAGACAATTCCAGTTTAAATTTTCTCTTGATAAACATAAAAAGAGATGCACATTTTTGGTCCTGAATTCTACTTCCACCTCCCTCCGTGAGGCTGTGTCCTTCCTCCTCACGTTGGCTTTGGTATAACACTGACTGTATCAGACCACGAGTCCCCACGACTCACTCTCCATGGTCTCAAATTGTTCTAATCCCAGAGAAGGTTCTTCCCACTTTTGCCTCCTCCTCCTCCTCCTCCTCCTCCTCCTCCTGCTGCTGCTGCTGCTCCTCCTCCTCTCCTCCTCTTTGTCCTTCAGCTCTCATCTACCACCACGCGCTCACCCTCTGTTCACTTCCTCAGTCCAACATCTGGCTCATGGCTCTTGCAATACTGTAAAGGAGATGCAGACTGGTTGTCTTCACAGTTGGAGAGGGCTGCTTGCTCCCACCAGAGGGAATGAATCTGATTCCAACCAAAACAGCAAGCACTGCAGAGTCCCATCCCAGCTTCCATGAGGGCGCCAGTCTCTCTCTGGTCTTCTGATTTTGTTTTGGTTTTGATATGTTCCTATTTTTAAATACAGGTAGTTTTCCTTGCATGACACTCTAAATGATGTGCTAGACCAAGACTGATACCTTTACTGCTTCAGTTGAATCCCAGGCCTCCTGAGCAGACCCCCAACCTCTACTCTATGATCTCTACACTATTTAAGGCCACACTCTTTGGCACTTGTCCTTGCAACTTCATGCTTCTACGTACAATGTCCTTGGCAAGGTTAGCCCACAGGTGACATGCCCATGTTCAAAATGCTCTGAGCACCCTCTGTAGGTCTGTAGTAATATTTTAGTAACTCCCTCCCCACTGTGAGTCTTTAGGACTCTCTGGTTCCTTTCCCCCACCCAGCCAAGCCTCTTCTTTGCCTTGAGGCACTTCTGATCCCTGTTGTCCCACAGAGTTTGAAACATCCATGGGGGAGGCCCGGTGGCAGGAAAGGCCTCCATGGGGTGCCTAGTAGTAAGTGCCCAGGTGGGAAGGCATGTGGCTGGCTGGAAGCCGAGTGTTCGGGTAGATGCCTGCAGTTGGGGAATTCCAGTAGGGGTTGGGGGCAGCAAAGAAGCTGGAGGAGGTTACAGGGAGGGCTGGAGGGTGGGGAGCCACGAAGTTCATCTTCTGTGGGTGGGCATGGTAGGAGCCCATGTACGGGAGGTCCGAGGGATACTTGTAGAGGGATGACTCAGGGGGGTGGGGCTGCAGGGCCTGGGCGATCCCATGGAAGTCAAACTTGTAGGCATAGCGCTTCCCATGGACTTTGGTCATGATGTTCTTGTCATAGTAGTAGCGAAGGGCACGGCTGAGTTTGTCATAATTCATGTTGGGCTTGCTCTTGCGTTCTCCCCAGCGCCGGGCCACCTCGTCCGGATCAGTCATCTTGAACTCCCCGTTGGTACCCTCCCAGGTGATGCAGTTAGAGTTGGAGCTGTCAGACAGGAGCTCCAGGAGGAACTGCCACAGCTGGATCTGGCCACTACCTGGGGATGACAGAGGACACAAAGCACCAGTGAGAGCAGGCCACTGAGAGTGGGGCATCCTGGAGGGCGGCCTGGGTTCCCTGGATCAGCCTGTCCCCATCTTGGCCATGGCTGCTCTTGGGCTGCCAATGTCTGCAGACAACTAGACATGGCTGGACAGGAGCTGCCTCATCCACCCCAAGAACCCCAAAGTCAGACCAATACAGGGAAGCACAAGCTGACCTCGCTTGCAGGAAAGAGTCAGGGCCCCCCAGGACTGGGCTGAGCAAGTATCTCATTGATGGGTCTCCCTCACACCTTCTCATGACGTCCTGAATGAGTCACTTGTGCCAATACCCTTACTCCCAGCTCTGCAACTAGAAAACCTGGCCTAGGATAACCACTATCCTTGTCCATTCTTGGGGTGAGCTAACAAGCCCACGTCCTTTGTGGAATGCAGGGAATTCACACGGGGCAAAGGTCAGGGTGGCTCCAGCCATTTATGACTTCCTTCACAGAACAGCCAGTTCCACCTGGAGTTTTAGGAATGAAAGAGCTATTTTTTCCTATTTTGTGAGGCAGCAAATGCCCTTCTGTGGATGGCAATAATGACTTTGTACCGTTTGTGTTGGCTAGGTCATGTAAAATAATAAAAGTCAGGCTGAGGAAATGAGCATCTAAAAGTTTATGGAAAAAGATAGAGAATGGAAGTAAACATCATCATTTCTGACATAACATTGTGCTGGCTCTCACAAAGCAATTCTGTCCAGTTTTCCTAGAAGAGAATTAACCCGCTCAAAATGAGGAAGTTTAGAAAAAAGCTGGCTCTGTCCCAATGAGATTGCCCATTTCCGGTATGGAAGCAAACATATCCTCATGGAAATCCACATGCTGCCCTGTGTCACCTAGCCAGGGGTGCAAAGTCCCATTGAGGGCCTGTGGAGATGGCTTTAATGTCTCTTCAATCGGAAAGACCTGAACGCATCATTCCAGCCTCTAATGCTTGAGGCTGACTGAAGACCCCCAAGTGGCAAGAAGTGGGGAACACTGATCTTAAAATGGAGAGTCAGGACAAGCTCAACTGGTGTGTCACACAGATTTTACAAGCTCAGAGTTGTCGGGAGGTACATATTTCCACCCAAGCTCCACTACAGCGTTGCACTGGGATTACTACACAAATGCCACTTATGATATGATAAGCAATATCAGCAGATGGGACAATTAAAGTACCTTCAACCTGTCACTCACTGGGGAACTGATGAATGGTGAAAGTCAATAATAAATATATATTCCTATATCCCTGTATAAATTGTCCAACCCATAAGCCCTTGTTTCCACGCCAGCTACAGGAAAATGGGTGTGTATGAACTCACCCATACAACTGCATTGTGAGAAAGGTCACCTCCTTCACATATGTACTGCAAAGGCATCGTTTTCAGACTAGCAACACATTTGAAATGTATTAACAGCTTGTAGCTCAATGTGACGGAAGCCTCTGCTGCTTTCTCGAACTGCATATACAAACTGTTCTCCCTCAACTTTTGTTGCCTCCCACATTTCATTAATATGCATTATGTGCATGATATGAAAGAGCCATATGGTTTGAGTAAATACATTGTAACCAAAAGATGAAAATTTGGAAAAAAAAATTCCACGGATGACCTGTGAATAAGGAAGAACCATGAGTTTTGGATTTAACAGTATAACATATGCTTCCCTGTAAACATATACAGTTGTTTGAAAATAAATATTCAGTGTTGACTTCCTCCCATAGAGAGTAGATCCACAGATTTGGTATAAATACATACCCTTGCCTAAACAGCCAGAATAACCCTGGGGACCTGTGTAAGCCCTAGCCTCACTTCTGGGGAATGTGTCCTTTGTCTTTTGTCCTAATAAACATGTGTTGGAAGGAAGCAGTGGAGAGAAGCAGTCTCCTCTCTCTCTTCCTTTGCATGAGCTGGACAGGCGGAGATCTACATTCACAGTTGGGAACTCGGAGCTCAAAGGGAAGACCAGATGGTTTCCCACTAGGCTGTTGTACTTGGTAGCTCAGATGATGAGAGACTCAGGCCTGTGATACAGAACTCAGTTACCTGCACCAACTGAGGAATGGATAAAAAAGACGCATTTTTATACAATGGGGTGCTACTCAGCTATAAAAAAAAAAAGATAAAGCCAAGGCTTTTATAGGTAAATGGATACAACTAGAAAACATACTCCTAAGTGAAATAAATCAGAACCACATGTATAAACATTGTATTATCTCCTAGTGTAAGAACCTGATAGAGTAAATCCATTCTGAAATGTACAACAGAAAAGAAGAAACTGGTCAAAGGGAAGGAATAACTGGGATGAGGGGAAGAAGAAAAGGAAAACAAATGAAAGAAAAAAGGGGAAAAGGAATATATATATGTATATACACAGGATAGTTTGGATAATTGAACTGCTGATTTTTGCTGGCCTACTGAAAGAAGCAATTAATGCTTAAAATTTTGTTTCTCTCCTTTTGATTTTTTTATAATTGTTGACCAATTTTGCGTGCTTACAACTGTTAATCTGAAAAACTAATTTGAAGACAACAATATGTAATATAATAACCGCTGTTGAATGCCTATCCTTTTGCTTAGTGAAATTCTGTATCGTTTTTAACTGGCTTTTTAAAATTATTTTTTATTCACTTGTAAAAAAAAGAACTAAGCTACCTATGAGTAAAACTCATCAGCTTCCACACAGAATAAAACATAAAATCCAGGAATGCTTAAGGTAACATTACAAAATGTAGCATGCTATCAAACTCAGTAATTGTTACACTGCATTTTCATAACAAAGTTCACTGCATACCCTGTGGAGAGCTTGTTTTCTCGCCACACAAGAATGCTCCAGGGTGCTGGGGGGCTCTCTGGCTGCTGGCAAGTCATGGCCAACAGCGAATGAGAAACTCTTGGCCACAGAATTTCCAAGGCATTTGTTAAAATCCTTATTTTAGTGTCAGAATGTTCCCCTGTGACCTGCAATGTGGTACATTTTAGGGCACAAACAGGATTCTATAAAACAAGAATGTTCAGTGTTTGGAGAGGCCTAAAGGTGGCCAAACCAGTGAGGTGGAAGGAACTCTTCAAAGACAAGCATTGCCCCCCACCAGCACCACCACTCCTCCTGATGAGGCCTCTTTGTTTGGTAAAACCCTTCCTGCTGCTTTCCTCACTCTTTCTATGCTGTCCTTGGGACATTTGGAAGGAGAAGCTAGTTTTTACCTAGGCTGAGAAACTAAAAGGATGGGATTTGGGGTAAGGAAAAAGAGCCAGGATGGAAGGGAGCAGGCGGAGCTCAGGAGGACAGAGGCTATTCTTCCATTGTGGGCAAAAAGTACTCTTTGAGGACCACAGAGGGAAAGTCTACAGACTTGGGTATGTACCTGTCCTATGATAAGAGGTCTGCTTTGGGGAAAAGACCAGAAGTGACAGAGCTGGATAAAAAGGAATTTTCGTTTTCAGGTTTTCGAGAAAGCAGCCTATATGCCCATCAGCAGCTGAATGGATAAAGTATGGTGTTTACACTCAGCAAGGCCCTTCTCTGCCCTAAGGAAGGACGCACTGGCGTCATGAGCAGGAGGTTGGATGCTCCTTGAGACCTGAGTGAGACAACTCAGACACAGAAGGTTGCATATCACGTGCCTTCTCTAATAGGATAGATCTAAAATATTAATAATTTAAAGAATAAAATAAAAGATGATAGGAAGCAAAGAGGCAGATTGTGGAGATGGGAAGAAGAGAAGGGAAAGAGTTAAAATTGTAAAGATGTGCGAGGAACCTGCCTCAGTTACTTTTCCCATTGCTGAGATAAAATATCCAACACCCACAAGTTAAGGGAGAAAGGTTTATTTAGCTCAGTGTGTGGAGATTTCAGTCCATTAGTGGCTGGCTCCAAGGCATGGTGGCACATGGCAGAGGGGCATCACAGAGAAGAAACAGTTCACAGCAGCCAGAAGGTGGCAATCACCTTAATGGTGTCTTTCTGTCCCTTTTACTTTATTCGGACTACTCAGGCCAGGCAGCACTCACCTCACACCCTTAGTGCTAGTACCTGTGAGCCTAGCACTGCACCATGAGTCAAACCCAGTGTCACACACTCTGGATCCAGCCACCTCTAAGAAAGCCCCACCTCTGACTGCATGAGGCTTTGGGCAACATCTAGACATGACCATACAGTGCCAGTTTCCTGAGACTAGTGGAAGTATAGTATACTGCAGAGACAATAGGAAACGGAGCTAGATCTTGTGCAAAAGGGCAGAGGACCAAGAGATAGAGAGAGAGGGGAGGTTCCAAGAAGGAAGCAGTGCTCTGTGCATGCGCCGACCCCCACTGTGAGTGGACTCATCAGGCACCGCCAATAGGGACTAATGAAACTAAAGACTCTAAAAATGCTTTTCTGAAACTGAAAAAACAGAAAGGAAAAAGCAAGAAAACATGACAGCAGTGAGGTAGAGACTGAGTAGAAAGAGCAAAAGACAACAGTTCTCGAACCATGGAGGGAGGCAAGGCCAAGGCCACAACTAAGGCAGCCAGGGCCCAGCCAGCATCAAGGGGCACTAGTTTGGGGCCACTCTCTGCAGCAGTTGGTGTTGGTGGGTGCCCCAGGGAGGCCTTTGTCGGGAGGATGGTGCCGCTGCTTAGATACCCAGTGTGGCAGGGCCAGGCAGGCTCCACAGTGGATCTGGCACCACCATGTTGGATGAATCTTGGTTGTGCCACCAAGAGGACCTCAGGCAACTTCCTCAACCTCTGGGCCTCAGTGTCCCCAGCGGTAAAGGGAGAGTAACTGGGAAAGGAACTCCCTGCGGGGCCACTGTGACAGTGAGCTCCCTGTGAAATGGTCATGGTTTGTGTACACTGGGTACCAGCATTCATGGAAAGGTCTCCTGAGAGATGAGAAATGCCAAAAGGAACCAAAGGCCACCAGGCTGGCCACACAGAAGGTTGGGGTGGTACTAAGGGCTGGCTGAAATAGTTTGGTAGCTTAGTATAGGCAAACACTCTCTTAAACACTGTAAGAATTATCTTATTCTTATAAGAATCATGTGAGTAAGGCACTGGATAGATGGGAAATAGGAGCCCACAGAGGTGGACGGGGTATTGTTGCTTGAGGTCAGCAGATGTAGGAAATCAGACTCCAGGCCACCATACATAAGCCTGCACCAACAACTGCACACTGTGTTCTCAGGGGGTCCTCTGCCTGGGCCTCAATTTTGGTGGGCTCCCCTGGAATATTCCATGCTTCCATCTCCTGGTGAATGGCAAAACATCCCGAAACGTAGCGCTGTGTGAAGCAGAGTATGTTTTCAGGCACCCTGACCCACATGAATATCCACCCAGCATTAAGGAAGCTGTGGGTCAGAGTCCAGAAAGCTCTCTGGTGGAAAAATGATTTCCATTCTTCACAGGAGCTGTCAAATTCCGAGCCATTCTGTTGGGACATAAAGGAGCTGAGTTGCCTGTGACGGAGGACATGAGGGCTCAGGACACACTTTTCTCAGAAGTGATGCCCAAAGCACACAATGCCTTTTGTATTTGAGATGTTGGGAAGCTAACTGGCACATGCAGGATGCTGCATGACATCTTTGCATTGAGGATGATTCCCCTCGGACCAAGCGTATGAGCGCAATGCCAGTTCTGTCTTGTATGGCATAGCTGGACTGCTTGTGCTTCTTTACTGACTTCAGATTCCTCCTACTGCTCAGGGGAAGGAAAGTCCTTGCCTTCTACCCTCGAGGTCCCTGGTCTCCATGACCTCCATGATGGTTGTGTCAGCTTGAGTAAGAGAAACCCAGCTGACATGGTTTAGGATTCCACACCCAAGGGTGTAGAAGGTCCTAAGGCAGCTGGCTGCTGGATGGCACAAAGCAGAAGTGAAGGAGGACAGATCTGCTTCTGCTCCAGGAGGGTGTCATCTCCTGGCTTCCACTAGGGATCCATCAGCCTCCTGACACAAGACTCTTAGGGGGCTGCAGGAAGCTCCAGACCCTGGACTGAATTCCTCAGTCTCTGGTGTGCAGAAACCCTCTGCAGACCTCCTCATCTGACTCTGTGGCTGACCATCAGAAGCTGGTCTTATAAATTCTTACACACTTGTGTAGCTTGTGTTACACCTGTTTCTCTAGCAAACACTGACTGATACAACCCCCTTCCTCCCTTTGTGTTTGGTTAAAGGCTGCGTGGGCTGAGAAAACCCAGTCTTGATTGGTGTGATTCAGGGAAAGCTGCTATTTTTCTTTGGGCCTCTCTGATTATTCTTCTGCAAAATGCATTTAACATTTAGGCTTGATAGTAGCTCCCAAAGGGGTCCATGGGCATCAACACATCAATGGGGACAGCACAGGGAGCTGCTCAGGTGGTATTTCACATCATTGTATTAACATTCCCAGAGTACTATGACTTCCATGCTTTCCTCCCTTCTAATCTGTCCTGAGCGCTGCTGCCAGATCAGTCTTCCTGAAGCATGATGGATTATAATCATCCTGAAACTGCAGTCATTATTTTTATTCAAATGTTTCTGAGGCAGCTGCCAATGGAAGACTGAACAGAAGTATAAGAGGGTCCCACACAGGAAATGTGACTCCCAGTGGACACTCACATGAGGACCCTGTGACCCTGTGCATCGAGCAGTGTCATCAGCACCCATGTTCTTCCCTCCCCTAGGTGACAGCTCTTGAGCCAAAGATCTGTGCTGTATTAGTCTTGTCATTTAATTGCTCAACAGAAAAGTGTTGAGCACCTCATTTAGGCTGGGACTAAAGCAACAAAGTGTCCTTTAGTTATCTGACTGCTTAGAAAATAGCTATTGAATTAATTAACATTTACCAAAATTTCAGTTGCTCAGTAATATTTTGTGTTCTCAAGGTCTGCACTCTCACATAAGGATGGCTGCTGAGAGAGGCTGACTTTTCTGTTGTTGTTTCCCAGCCCTGACTGGGTCTGGGTGTTTAGGAGACAAAGATTTCAACTTGCACTCGCTGTGCACCCTGGCATGGGAATCTGTGGCAAGGAACACGCAGCATATGCTGAGATTTTCTGAAACTGCTGCCAGCACAGCTGGTTATGATCTGAATACAAACAAACAGAGCAATTTAGCTGGCACTGCAAAGTGAGGACAGGTGACAGTCCTCGGCAAGGAACTGGCAACACATGAGCCAATTAAGAACCTGTACCTTCTTCTCACAGCTAAACTCAGAAACAGACCATGGGAGATGACCCTATCTGGAAGTCTTGTGGTTGGAATTAAGATTCTCTCCCTAAGACCTATTATTTTATCTGCTGGGTAATGGGTTGAATTGTGTCCCTTCAAAATTCTTCTCTTCAAGTTCAAATCCCAGAACCTCAGGACGTGGCCTTTTATGAAGACCAGGTCTTCAAGTAGGTAATCAAGTCAAAGTAAGGTCATTGGAGTGGGCCGTGTTCCTACATGACTGGTGTCCTTTTAAAAAGGGGAAGGTAGCTGACTCCAAACACATCTAGCTCCCTTATCTTTGACAAAAGGGCCAAACACATTCACTGGAGAAAAACAGCATCTTTAACAAATGGTGCTAGAAAAACTGGTTTTCTACATGCCAAGGACTCACACTAGGCCTGTGTCCATCACCATGCACCAAACTAAAATTGAAATGGATCAAAGATAAAAATATTAAAACAGAAACACTAAATCTTCTGGAAGAGAGAATAGGCAGAGCTCTTGGAGACATTGGTAAAGGCAAATATTTCAAGAATAAAACCTCAATCACATGGGAAATACTACAAAGAAGTGTTTGTAGTGTTGATCTCACTTGATGAGATCAACAAGTGGATCTCATCTTATAAAAAAAGCTTTGCACAGCAAAACAAATCACCAACAGAGTGAAGAGACAAACTAGAGTGGGAAAAAATTTTTGCCAGTTGTTCCTCAGGCAGAGGACTAATATTTGGAACATACAAAGAACTGAAAGAAATCAGATTCCCAAAATTTAGAGACCCAATCCAAAAATGAGCATCTGAAATAAATACACGCTCCTCAGTGAAAACATAAAGAGCAAATATATATATGAAAAAAAGGTTCAACATCATTGGTCATTCAAGAGATATAAATTAAAACAACACAGATTCCATCTCACTCCAGAAAGAATGGCTACCATTACAAAAATCAGCCCATAAGAAATGCTGCCATAATTGTGGGGAAAAATGAACCCCTCTCCACTGCTGGTGGGAGTGCAGACTGGTACAACCACTGTGGAAATCATTGTGGGAATTCCTCAAAAAACTAGGACTAGACACTCCATTTGACCTAGCTATTCTCTTTGGCACCTTCCCAAAAAAATTAAAAGCATTATACCACAGTGATATATGTAAACTCATGTTTATAGAGGCCCAGTTCATAATAGCTAAATCTTGGAAACAGCACAAATGCCATCAACTGAGGAAAGGATTAAAACAATATTTTTTTTTACAATAGAGAACTACTCAGCCATAAAGAAGGATAAATTTAAGACACTTAAAGGTAAACAAATTTAAGTTAGCATCATACTCTTAAGTGAAACAAATTGGACACATATGTTCAAACATCCCATTGTCTCTCTGGTGTGAGAAATCAAAAGTGTAAATAAGAATCAAAATGTGGAACAGATACTGCGAAATAGGAAGAAGATGTTCAAAAGGAACTAGGGATGAGGGGAAGAAAGCAGGGAGGGAAAAGAAACTAAATGAGAAAAGAAGGATAAAATGGAAGCAAAGCTTTTGTAAATAAAGAGACAGGAGAGGTTGAAAGGAAAGAGGGGAATGGGAAAAAGAAAAATCAAGACCCATCACATACAGGTACAAATCCCCTGATATGAGTGTGATCATTTTGTCTACCTAAATGGCACCAATAACTTTAATTTTAAGAAAAGGGAGAAGTTTGGACATGAAGATGACCATGCAGAGAAGACAGCCAAGAGGTGACGGCAGGCATCCACCAGCCAAGGGAGGTGTCCAGGACAGAGCCTGCCTCACGGCCCCGAAAGGGCTGTGCCTGACACCTGACGCAGAAGTGCAGCTTCCAGAACTGGGAGACAATCAGGTTGTGCTCCTGAAGCCATCGTGACTGCTGCTCTCTGTCGCAGCGCACAGTGGAAGGCTGTCACAGCTCGGTTGGGTGCCGGTGCTTTTGGCTGAAGCTAATGTCTTAATGTACATCCTGATTATTTTTTTCTTTCCCACTAAGGAGAATAATTTAGGGGAACTTAAAACTAAAATTGGTTCAGTTAAAGGAAATTTCTCACCAATACACACACATCTTCCTTTCAAAGTTCCCACTGCCCAAAAGAAAACCAGGTAAGGAAAGAATCACCAGTTGGCTCTCACCTGGATTGGCAAGGCGACTGCTTGTCGGTCCAAGGATCTGATAAGGGTCTGCAACAGAAAGGTAAGAAGTCAAATCCCGAAGTGGGGACTCAATGTGGTATGACTTCCAGCCCAAAAATGTCCCCCACCCAAGACCAACTGCCTCCACCTCACACATGAAACAGGATGTCACACAGGCCTCAGACACACTCCTTGCTAGAGCCTTTAGCTGACAGGGGAGCTTGGATTCCCCAGCTTCTCAATGCGCTGCCTGGAACTCAGTTTGACTCAGATAAAAAAGGGGGAAATGTGAACTGAGTCCCCACTTGGCCCCAGGGATCCGATGAAGCGCGGGCTCTGGTGCAGGTGCCGGGAGGTCAGGGAGAAGCGGCCTGCACGCAAGGCAGCGCTTCCTCTGCATCCGCCACACAGGGCTCGCAAAGCTCCAGCCAAAGTCCCGTGGCTGTGACCCAGCAGACTGGTGCTTTGGTGGCATTTTGTGTGCATGGCACTTGTAAGAAGGAACACGGCACTAGGTCCATTTAAAAGCCACACCCTGTGGCAATACCCTGCCACGCTGGCAGCTTCTCCACCATTGCCCGACGATCCTCAAAACGTACCTAGCTGGGGGCGCTGATCTTCAGTTTTGGGCACTGCGGAAGGAGATGGCTGGGCAGCTGAAAACCCAAAAGTAAAAGGACCATTAGCTACAGCTTGGACGCGTTCTCAGCCCTTGGAGCTGCTGCTGATACCGTCATCCACCAACAGCTCTCTTCACAGTCCTGAAAGGCTTAAAGCAAGAAGCATCTCGGGGTGGGAGAAATTCTCCCACCAGTGAAATCAAATGCAAACCTTGTAACACCAAAGGACACTTCATTATTTTAAAAATATACACCATATTCGTTCTAAAAGTAGAAAGATACTTTGAGTTGGCTCACAAAACAGCCTAAAGTCAGCCATAGTTTAACATAAACAGATAGAAGGAAACCTGTCAGGTCAAACAAAGCCAACGCTAGTTTTATGTGCTACCCATGGAGGAAAACACTGGCCGTTCAGGCTGTATATGAACATCCCACGAACATGTGTTTTCCACGCTAAGGTCCACAGGAGGCATGAGGCATGGGCCTGTGATTTAAGCACTCTGGGAGGCTGAAGCGGGAGGATCACAAGGTTGAGAACAGCTTGGGCAACTTAAGTGAGACCCTGTTCCGAAATGTAAAATTAATAAAAGGGCTGCGAAGGCTGAGGAGATAGTTCAGCGGTCTAAGTGCCTGCCTGGCAAATGCAAGGACCTGGGTTCAATCCCTGGTGCCACATGCCATGCGAGCCGAAGAACACCAGGCATGCTGTGTAGAGAGACCCTGCACCAAAATGAATAAATAAATAAATAAATAAATAAATAGATTTTAAAAAAATAATTTGAAAAGGGCTAGGAATATATAGCTCAGTGCAAAGGCCCTGCTTTTAAGCCTTAATACCCTGAAAAAGAAAATAAAAGGAAAGAAAGAAGGAACAAAGGAAGGAGGGAAGGAAGAAGGAAAGAAGAGAGGGAGGGAGGGAGGCAGAAGACGCCACCTCATTCATTTCTTCCAGTTATGAAGTGGGAGATTACCCAACAGAGAAAGAATCACTGCATTTAGAGGTCAGTTGTCTTTGTCACCAAGGGAACAAACCCTGCGACACAGACCAACTCCAGAGACTTACTCCCTCCACCCAGCACTGCCCCACACCTTGTGCTGGGCACATCAAGTACCTTTGGACTGAGGGGCGGGGTGGCTGTGACTGGTCCAGGCTGACCTCCGGGGAGGCTCGTAAGGTAAATCTGTAAAGACACATACATCGACTCAGAACTCTGCAATGGCATTTGTGTAGCAGCTGCCTTGGTTTTTATTTGGTGTTTATTAGAATAAATACCATGTAATAAAATCCAGTAATCCCAAGAAATAGTCAACCTAGATTCCATTAGGTTTGGGTTTTATTTACAAGTTACGATTTTATGTATTTTGTTGATTTAAAAATCCTCTTCCTAGTTTATCTGAAAACTTCCCCTGGCAGATTCTTCCAGAGCTTGCTACTCTTTTAGAGCATCTTCCTAAGGTCAGAGGTTAAGATTGCATTCAGAGCTTTTGACAATCTCATTCCATGTTTCCACCAAGGACTGGTCTGACTCTACCCATTTTCATCTTCACAGCCCATCCAGAGCAGCTCACAAGTGGGGGACCCAGTGCTTTCTGTTTGAGGTCTGTCCCCAAACCCAACCAATGGTGTTCATGCTCCTTTTCTTTCTCCCTTTCTTGGGCATGGTTTACTTCCTTCTTAGCCTTGTGTTTGTGAGTTGCCACTCTTCATTCTCCCCTCATTTTTTTTATACTGCCCACCTTAATTCGTCTTTTTTCCTTTTCAAAAAGATAGACTTAGAATTTCTCTAAAATGAATTGCATGAAACAAATGACAAGACTGAGATCTTATCACCCACCCCATACACTAATAACCTTTAGAGCTTGGGCCTATGCTGTGATTTATAATGTAACATCACATATCCTATAAACCTTCCCTGCACTTTGCATATGCAAATCTAATAATTATACTTCCACATCTCATTCTGAGTTCTGCTGATAGTGATCAAGCCTCTAACTTATTTCAAGTTCCTGTACAAAGTATATTCCAGAAGCATTATTATATTATCACTATGTACATGTGCAGCTACTTCTACCTGCTGTCTTATCATAGAGCCATTTCTTTTCTTTAAAATCTATCTGATTTTCAAAGCTACCTCCTTGGATGGAGGGTCCCAGCTCAGTGTCAAGTGCTATCATAGGCTGACTGGAAGCTGATTTTCCCCAGGGGCTCTGCTGCCTGAACACCAGAAAGTAACTGCAAATCTCATGTAGAGGGCCAGGTAATGGGAGGATTTAAGGCTCTCTTTAAATACATCATTTACCCTCATTTTGGAGTGGCAGCTCATCTGGCCCAGTCTTCACTGAGCCTGGCTATCTTGCAGAATACACTTCTCCTTCTGTTTCCATACCCTGAGAGGCCAGGAGTGCTATGTGAAACTCCACACAGAACGGTCTTAATGCATTTGGTGCGTTTGGCTCAGCTGTCTTGCAACTAGTGTGGTCTGTGAAACCTGACCCTTGAGTTTTGAAGGATTAGATAATTTTGCTCTTTAAGCTCTGCCATTGCTCACCCTCCCTCTAAGCTGGCAGTTTTGCATTCTGGAGGCGTCAAGTCTCCCACCCAGCTCCTCACAGCTTCACTTTTCTGGAGCTTGGACCCCACGTGGGAATAAGCACAGCCGCTATCAATTTACAACTAAAACTCAATTTCATTCCCTGAGAGCATTTTGCACAAGGATTCTCAGCCAGTTACACTTTTATAAAAAAAAGAAAAAAAGAGTGGTTAACTACAGCTTCAATAAGAGAATTGTCTCAGAAAGAAGAACCTATTAGGAAGGCAACCCTAACACACCGTCAACTATTCAGAAGCAAAGGGGACCCCGGTTACAAAAGGGAAGGGCAAGATACTATAGAGACAGGTCAAAGTGGGGTCTATAGGCCAGATCTGGGTGTTTTCTTATCTTGTGTCTGCAGAGTCAGGATCTTGTCACAGATGCCAGCTGACCCGGGTGTATGCAAAGTGGGAGGGCTCCCGTGTTTTTTAAAAATCCCAGGGTGATTACTTTCACCTGAGGTGTAAAACTAGGCGGGGAAGCTGTGCGCAGGTGCTGGCGGGTGGTTCAGAAGGGACTTGGGAAAGCAGAAAAAGCACTGCTCGTGAGACGTCACTGGAAAAAAATAAAACACCGACTATGACTGCAAAAATATTTTGAACCTCTTTATTCATAAAATTCTTTGCAGGATGAATAATCTCATGTACCACCTCCCTTAAAAATCAGTCAGCAACTCAACCGCCTCATGTCAAGTCTAATTTTCAGGCAAGCATTTGATATGTTTGTATGAACAATGATGAACATGTGCCCTGGAAGATAAGCAGGCTTTTGTTTGCTTTTGTGACTTTCTGGGCCAGTGCTTCCTTATCAGCTACTGATCACATGCTCTGGGCACAAGTCCCCTGCTGTGGGGTGTGACATGCAAGGAAATGCAAAGCACAGCCTGGCTGAGCGAAGGACAGGGTGGCCAACCTACGCGCCACACCACCCCAAAGCAGGGCCAGTGCTAAGCATTTCTAACTACTCTTGCCTGTTCAAAAAATTACTAATCCATGCAGTCTTGCTATTTGTCCTTTACTGATAGCAGAACATAGGACTTCTAATAAAATAGATTGCAAGCCAGCAATAGCAGCCTACGCCTGTAACCCCAGCATGCTGGGAGGCTGAAGCAGGAGAATCACAAACGTAAGAACAGCCCTGGAAAATTATGGAGAACCTGTCTCAAAAAAAAAGAAAAGAAAAAGAGAAAGAAAGAAAGAAAGAAAGAAAGAAAGAAAGAAAAGAAAAAAAAGAAAAGAAAAGAAAGAAATTAAAAAGGGTTGGGGAAGTTGCTCAGTGTAAAAGGCCTGGGTTCAATCCCCAGTACCACAAAAAACAACTAAGTATACAAATGATCTTTGGTAATGGTTTTAACAGCCTCTCCATTCCTCTTCGATTTTATCCTGCTGGTAATTAACTCATACACTTTGGCAGAAGGCCCTGGATATGGGAAGGCTGCTCTCTGGCATGCCTCCTGCTATTTTATTAGAAATTCTGTGCCTAAAAACTGAACCTTATACAAGTGCTTTCAGAGGCAGCTTGGGGCAACTACAGAAGCATCTTGTACGCCACGAACCAGACAAATAAAAGCATGGAGAGTGTGACTGGTGTTAGTCCTCTCCATCAATGCCTTACTGAGTTCCTGGGTGCTGGACCAGCATCTCACTCCGGGTGAGCCTCCTCCCCACCTTATCTTTCCCGAGGCATCCATGGATCAGCACAGCATCCCACCTGCGCTTGCCATGAGGGTTGAGGTCCACTAAGTTTGCATTTTCCTTTCAACTACTTCATGGCAGAGGGGCCCGGCAGCACTTTCCCCCCGCACACATCCACTTTCCTTCCTCAACTGCTGAACCTGGGTGGCCACAGAGCTCATCCTTATCCTTCAGGGCCCATGTCACACTGTCACAGCAACCCTGGAAGTTCTTGGTGATGCTGCGTGAAAAGGGAGCAGGTTTGTCTTCACTCTGTGCAGTGGGGAAGGCCAAATAGGAAGACCAAGAACTGTGGCTCAGACCCAATCTATAAATGCCTGAGAAATAGAAGGAATGCACAGAGTCAACCCAGGCATGATTGAGCTGCTCTCCTTTGTCTTCCTCTAGATCTTTCTAGAGTCTTCCCAAATCCCACATCAATGACACGGAGATCCAGGAACCATCTGCACTATCTTCTTGTCTGGATATGCAGAGCTACGTAGATATAATGGAGCTAGGGGCAAGCAAGGAATTGTCTGGAGCCTTCCCCTAAGATACAGGCCTTGCAAAACAACTGTCTGATGAGCAGAAGTACATCTGTCCCACTATACTTGGTCATTGAGCACCATCAAGCTGTGAGCTCCAAGGGAGGAGTAAGCTGAGAAACTCAAAGAATACCTCCCTCAAAGCCAATGCTCTGTGTTCAGGTTATACCTTCTGGTCCCTTTTCATAGTATCCCAGGTGCATATCACAGTGTCTGGGTTGTCATGGTGATGAAGGAAGAAAGGAAGAGGCTGTAGAATGTAATCCTTCATGTGACCTGCTCTCCAGAGGCCAGGCAAGGTGCTATGTGGTGAGGTCAAACACTCTCAAGGCTTGCAAGACTGTGATTCACACCTGTCCCTGTTCTTGCCACTTTACCGAGACCAGATTCAGCAAAGGAGCTGGGAGTTACAGGGTAGGTGGGGAAAGCATTTCCAGTAGTAACAACTGAATAAACACGAGTAATGCAAAGAACATCATGGAATAATGATTACAACATCAGACTGTAAAATGGTGCATCTGTGCGCTAACTTTTTATAAGAGAAAGGACCAGTCTACATGCTAATTACAAAAATGGGGTCATACAAGAAGGTATGCTTTGCATCAGGAAGACATGGGAAGGTACGGGAAACAAGCACAGGAAGAGAAGAGGTAAGGAATGAACAGAGGAGGGGAAAGGATATCCCCAGGCAGTTCCATTCAAGGTCACTGAACAGCTGTGGCCAACGTGGGATGGGGCTGAAACATCACCCAGCAGGTAAGTGACAAGAGGGCACTGGACTGAGTGATCCATTTGGAAAAAAGGAAAAGGCAGGTTAGGGTGGCAGCCCTGGGGCAGGTGACCGTTGGAGAGGGAGGTGGGGTGGGGGAGAAATATCAGCAAGTAAGCTGGGCTGGAGAAGTGAAAACATGATCTCGGTTAAACCAGTGCAAATGCGAAGCCCTTACACTTCTCTTAGAGAAGGGACAGGTTTCGGTTTACACAGAGTGTTTACCTAGGACCCAGGGTGGCTTCCGGCTCAGTTCCCAGCATCCTCTGAATCTGTGGGGGCTGGAGAAGTGGAGCAAATGTGAAGAGTGCTCCAGAGGACACAAGGGCACAGGAGACAGGAAGTTAGGTTTCTATCTCCAGGGACTCGCTAAGAACGAGTCCACAAACACTGAACTCATTTTTTTTTTTTTTTTCTATTTTTGAGACAGGGTCTCACTATGCACTTCAGGCTGGTCTCAAACTCACTTTATAGCCAAGGCTGGTCTCAAACTCCCAGTGATCTTCCTGCCTAACCCTCCCAAGTGCTGGGATTATAGGTGTGCCCCACCATGCAAAGCTTCACCTCTTCTGAGAGTACTGGATATACTGATGGCAGGGACAGGGGCAGATTCCCCTTGCCCCTCCTCTGTGACTCTTACAGCTCTGAGAAGAAGCAAGACAAAACCTGTGCCCTCTGTCACATCCTAAAAGCCACCCTGTGCACCATCCTGACTGCCAGCACCACCAGCTGCTCAGGTAAAAGTAAGCACTTGGCAGTGGGTGGACCAAGGTCACCAGATAATGTTTTCTCCGAGGTCTAATCCCTGAATCCAGCCTACGGGAAATAGTCCTCTGACTTACTCAGTAAGATCAATAATTCTTTACAAATCTGATATTAGTATTTGTATTTCCTTTCATAACCACAGAGGCAGTAAATAAAGTAGGCATTTCCCTGATGCAAGCTGAGTCTGAGACAGACTGCACTAGCCATGGAGAATCGGGAGTGTGCACTCTTCCAAGTCATGGGATGGGGCCACCACAGGACACCTCACAGTGACAGGGATGTGTGCAGGTGACCACCCTCACCCGTCTCGGGCTGAGGCAGTGAGGAATGCAGCCATCAGCCTCCCTGACACCCTCTCTCCAAACTAAAACACTGAAAACATTGGTCCAAGGTCCCCTGGAGCATGAAGCAGCCAGATGGCTGGTAAGATCAGTGGGCTGCACCAACAGATTTGGCCAACGTCATGGCCTTTTAACCTGCTCACACAGCATCTCATAAAACCCAGCCCTGCACATCCACTGTAACATCCATGAAACGAGGTTAAATAAATTTTAAAACTGAGTAAGTTAATTTTTAAAGGCCGAAATATTTGTAAAGTATGAATAGAAACTCTGCCATAAATATTCAAAGTCTTCTTCACTTTAAACATTCATGTCACCACTTTGGCCCCTTCCTGCAGCAGCTCTGGAGTCCTCTTTCCTGTGTGTCATTAGTTGCCCCGCCCTGGCTGCCTCAATGTTCCGCACAATGATTCAAAAAAGTTCTCTCTCATGGTAGTTTCTACTTTGGGAAAGAGATACAAGTCACATGGTGCCAGGTCTGGTGAACAAGGTGGATGGGGACACAATTTCATGTTTTATGAATTTCCCATGCCTAGTAAAGACAAGCACAAAAGAGGATTTCCAGAGATGTTTCAGAAAGTAGCAAGAATCATGAAACAAAAGTGTGCTCCAACGGAGGCAGAGAATTTTGAGGGAGATTTATGGCAATGCATGTTTTACTGTAATAACCATTTGTAAAATTTAGACATTCCCTGTGTATTTTGATCAGCCCCTGTACATGGCGGGATTCTGCAGGGCCGGTCTAGTTTCCTGCAGACACTGGGTCCTGTCCCCACTAAAATGGCTTTTAACAGGAAAGAGGTCACCAACCGGGATGGACGTGTCTGTGGCTGTTGAAGCCTGACATGCTGTGCAGGGAGGACTCTGGACGCTCTGACTAAGGCCTTCCTCCCAGTTCCCAGGACCAGGAACCAAGCCACTCTCTCAGGTTGTAGAAGAGAATGTTGCTAGCCCAAGTGCCCACAGCGGTTACAGGGCAGTGCCCAACTCAGAGCAACTGGGAAGCTTCTTTACTCCTGCTGCTCAACCTCCTGGCCTGGCTTCCCCACTGGATAGAAAGAGCTTCCAGCCTGGAATGTAGGACCAGCCTTGCTGAGACACATAAAGTCTGGCCATGTGACCAACCAATCCCAGGGTGTGGCTGGGTCTAGGAAGGTGTACGATCTAGACCCACATATGGCTAAGGCAGCACGACCACTCTCCCTGGACCTACCATGCCTGCAGCTGCAAGGCTGGAATAAGGACCTTGAGCTCACAGGCTGCTAGAAGCCCACTAAGGGGACAGGCCTAGCAGATGCTACAACCTGCTCGGAAACACCCAATCTGCTCCCTGACACAGGCGGGATCCTCCCACGGCAGGTGTCTGCTCCTCTGGAAAGCTTCCCACGCCTGCTGTTGGAGCTGTGTTCTTTCCCTTCTGCACTGATGGCCTCTGGCATTTTCTACTGCAAAATCCAGTGCTAGGTTAAGCGTGCTTAAGTTCCTGTCTGTCTCTCTGGCTCCAGCTTGTTCCCTTGAAATAACTAGAGCTTTAAGTAAACATCTGATCTCATTCATTGCTGTGTCTCTGTGCCTGGCACCAGAGAGGCACCCAAGAAATAACAAGGCAAGCTGAATAGCCACATCAATTTTCAGGCTGGGCTTGAACTTGCAATCCTTCTGCCTTAGGCTCCCAGAGTTTTGGGCTTACAGGCATGTATCACAATACCCAGATCCCACAAGCGTTCCTAAACTGGATAGCTTTTCAGTTTGGTTTATTTTTAAATTCCCAGGATCTAACTTCATGGTTGGCATTAATAGACACTTGATACCTGTTTATTTTGGCACAAATGGCATGCAATTTCCTAATTAAAGGAATTACATGGAAAGAAAGATTCAGAGCTAAAAATTATCTCTTCGTGCTTCTGCTCTGCAAGTTTCTTGTGATAAGCTGGCACCTGGCCACTACTGGCTTGGGGAGTCCCTCTTGCTTTGTGTAGACAGATGGCACGTCAATCCCTCTGTTCACTGGAAAGTAGAGGACTTTCTAATTCTTCGCCTGTCTCCAGAGCAGGCTGACCCAGAGTTCAACACCTTCAGTGTGGTCTCTGAATACAACAGTTGGGCTGGATTTCATTTGCAAATCAACAGAAGCAGCCACAAAACTGCTGGAGTCTGACACCAGATCAGGATGGCAATTCTACTGGGGGCCTTGGGTCCCAGATCTCAGCAGGGCCTGGTGGGGTGTGGGGGCATCTGTCCAAGGAGTAAAGTACCCAGGGCTGCCGGCATACCTGGCCTAGTTGTAATTCTTTGCGTAGCTTCAGGATATACTGAAGTATTTGGGAAAATAAAAGCTGCACCCCCTGCAGACAAAAGGAAAAACAAAACACATGAAGCTCTTTTGTCGTGGCTGTCGTCTCAGCCTCAGTGCCCAATCTCCTTTGCCCTGGGGCACCGTGGTGGAGCCCTCGGGAGACCTGAACAAAGGAAGCAGAAATGGGCTCTGAGCACCATCGAAGACATAGCTGCTGCTGCGTTCCATTTGTGATAGAGTTCCGGTTTTACAGCGCCATCCGTTTTCCGCAAGCAATCTCATTTTATTAAAAAAAAAAAAAAAAAAAAAATTCTATGGTTTTTTTTCCCCCTGAATTGCTTATAAACCCATAAAATAGTTTACAGACCTCTTGGAAGGCAGAATCAAAGAATTACAAATATTTTGCTAAGACTATATGGATCTTATTAAAAATTAATCCACGTCTTTTTACAAATGCACATTTTCTCTTTCAATCCACTCTCACATCATCAGCTGAGAAAATTCCCTTTCCAACTGTCGGTCGATTGGGAATTTGTTGTCCTGTTCTTTGATCTCTTATGTGTTTAACAATAATAAAGTTAATGAAATCACAATTTTTTTTTGAAAATTGCACTTACTGTTAAAGACTTTTGTAAACAGTGTAAACTGAACAGAAATTGTGTGTTGCTCAAAGTGTTTCCTAATGGGGGAAATGGCTTTGTCTAAGTTACTGGTTACTTCTGGCCCAGGATCCCTAACACGCTGATGGGCGTGACATAAATTGAAATGAGTACCACCAATTGAAAATTTTTTGTTTTATATTACATTAAAAGCCCAATACTGTGAATGTGGAAAACTAAGATAAACCAGCAACCTCATGGTCATATCCAAACTGAGACTCATCCACACTGTACATTTTAAAATAACAGGGTCAATATCTGGGAAGTGACAATTGCTCTCCGAGGGCAGCCCAGGAGTTGGCTTGTAGCTTGCAAGGGGTGACAAAGTCTTCCCAGCCATCCTGGCCTCCTCCCAGCCTGGGCGGTCACAGAGCATCCCCTAGGCTGATTCGGGGGGCGGGCAGCAGCCATGGCCACATGTCTGCAGTGACTCCCTGGGGAGGAGGACATGGACGCAGACGCACATGGTGAGCACCCCTCAGAGAAGCCAGCCCTGCCTGCCAGCCAAGGCACAGGAAGGAAGTTAGCCAGGACAAAGCACTAGGTTAAGCCCTACGAGGCTCAGGCACCATACAGAAACCAATATGGGATTGGTGGTTAGGAGCATCAAGGGAGGCATTGGGTTAGTGACAACCTTCAGGTCCCACAAGGGTACAGCAGTTTTCCTTGTCACGAAAGCTCACACGAAATAACAGACATGGCCTCCTACTGCCTTTTTGCAAATCTACAAGTCTGCCAGCTCATTAAATAAAAACAAGTCCGATGGCCTACCAGTATATCAGAAAGGAAAAATACAACTCCCACTTGTCCTACTGAATTCCTTTGGGAGTAAAAATGGGAGAGGAAGAGAATGGAGATTACTCAGGGCACCTTTCTACCACACATGCTTTTAGTTCCTACAATCAGCAGAGTGGATGTACCAGGAGAGGAGCGGAGAACTGTAATCCAGCACAGGGAGGCTGTGGATCTGGCTAACTGGTTAAAAGGAAACTTCTGATGGCCTGAGAGGGGAAGGAAGTGCTCAGACAGCAAAAGGGCTTCGCCATACGGAAGGACCACACATGCATCCACCTAGGTGTTCTCCCTTCTGATGCTGTGACTTGTGGAGGGCGACACCGGAAAGCAAGCAGCTGCAGCCCGGACCCTAGGGACAGGCCCCTGTGCTTACCCTCGGGCAGGGTGGAACCAGTATTACCTGTGTTTCTAGCATGCATTAACCGCGGAGAGTTTTGTAAGGCTTTATCAACATCATCGGAAGTCAAATGTGGAAGAGGAGCTACAAAACAAAACAAAAAGCAACATCAAAATGAAAAAGAGAGAGAATTACCTTTCTTTTTTTTAAAAAAAAAAAAAAAGGAGAAAGAAGAAATGAAGAAAAGAAGAAAGGAACACACCCTACCACCACCCTGACATCTTGGACTTCTGGAAACACCTGTATCACCTAGCTGCTGGTTATCATGTTAAAACCTCAACAGGGCGTTTTTTCCCCAGGAGAAATGGTTGGGATGCAAGGCAAAGCGATCAAGGGGTTCCCTCCCCCCACCTTTTCTTTCTCTGCCCATCCCTCCATGCTTGGCATTGTTCACATTACAGCATGCAGCAGACGTTCTGGATTCATGCCTCTACCCCACCAGGCCATTCCCATCCGCGTCAGGTTAAGCCAACTCTCCTGGTGCCAAGTGGAAACATCTCCCTCATTCTGTGGCCAGGCTGGACAGGAAGGGGTCTTGGCTCAGTTTTGGGGCAGAAACCCCACAATTCCTATGGAGCAGGTGCCTTTCCATGCTGCTTCTTTTTCAGGGTGGGGCACCATGAGACTCATAAGTGTGTGACCTTTGCCTATGACATTCCCTTTCCTGGTGGCAGAAAGCCAAGAGCAGGCCATCAAGGGCTGCAGTGACCCTTTGGCCTCAGAAAAGAGCAATGGCTGCATCTGAGCAGGTGACGTGAGCCATCTGCTTGTGCCGTGGTGTTCTCATGTGTTGTACCCTCCAGTCCTGCACAGCACTGGGTGAGGACAGGAAGACACCATCTGCAGCCTAGTTTGAACCCCAGTGGCTCAGGTCCACTGGGGCCCAAGGGATAAGCATGGGTCCTGGGGGGAGGGAGGGAAGGAGGGAGGAGCTTACTCTCTCTGAGGTAGTGGAGGTGAGAGAGGAGGATGTCGGCATTGTAGCTCGGGGTGAGCCTCTGGAAGTCGTCCTTGGTCATCTTGCACAGCTCCTTCCCGTCAATGTTCTGGAACAGTAAGATGTCCACATCCGGAAGGCTGTACTCTTTCACCGCCCACTCCAGCCACTGCCGCACATGGTCTGTGCTCCACAGTGTAGGGTCTGAAAGGGCAGAGAATGCATTCAATCAACTCTGGAAGATAAGCTCCCTGGCACACTGGATGCCGGGGAGATTGTACCCCAGCCCTAGAGCAGCTGTTCCCTGAAGTGCCAGCTACAGGCCAGGCTCAGCCACTACTCCAAAGAGGGTGTCCTGGGAGACAGAGAGCAACCAAGTCACATCCAGTCAGCAGTGTCTCTAGAAAGGACTGTTCTGGAAGATGAGGGTCATTCATACCACCAGCTTCTTTTGTGGCTCAAATAGATTTTCCTGTAGGGATCAGGCCTATTCAATTCTTCATTTTAATGTATTCATTAAAACATGATTGAGTCTCCGACCATACCACCCTGAGTGCGCCCGATCTCGTCTGCTCCCAGAAGCTAAGCAGCATTGGGCCTGGTTAGTACCTGGATGGGAAGACATACATGAGGGCAAAAGGAAGAATGAAAAGAAGAGTTAGTTGGGCATGGTGCTGCTTGCCCACACCTGTCCTCCCAGCTCACTGGAAGGCTGAGGCAGGAGGATAGCAAGTTCAAGCCAAGCCTGGGCAATATGGCAATGTAGTGAAATCTTGTTTCAACACAAATGAACAAAATAAATGAGTAAGATTGAGGATGAAGCCTAGTGCAAAAGCCCTTTGTTGAAACCTCAGTATTGTAAGAAAAATTATCTCAGGGCCCCCCCACCCCACCCCATTGTACTCTCCTCCCAACACCCAGAAGTTATTCGTCTCCTGAAGGAGGTGTATGTGCCACTCCTATGCATATCTCAATATTCTCCCCACAGCCACTTCATACGCTGGCTGTAGTTTTAATGCTAGCGCTGCCAAGCCTTGGGCACTCGGCACTCTATTTTCAAGATTTGGCCAAGTTTAATTGAGGCAGATACAGTCAGTCTGTAGGCGGCCGTGGTCTGCCTGCAGGAAAAAGCCAGTTCCCAGGGGAATTGCCAGTTTCCAGTCCACCAGGAGTCTGCACTGGTCCACAGCCCCAGGACCCTGTGGGGAGACCAAAAATCTGTGCATGCCTGGTCTCACTGGGTTATGCTGGATTGCTAGGGTGCGGGGTAGCCTGGAAACCAGAGGTGGGAGACGCTCGCCTGGTGATTTTAGTATGAAACTGTTATGGTTTAGATTGAAGTGAGGTTTTTTGGAAAGTGAGTGAATTATAGGGCTGCTGCAGCTGCCTTGCCATTGGGATGTGGGGTCTGGTGGAGAGTGGTGGCCCTGGGGTGTGAGCAGTGGGGTGATCTCCTCGTGCAGCTCTTCCTTTCCCTCTCTGCTTCCTGGTGCTGTGGTGGGGGCAGCTCTCTTTTTCAGACCTTTCCACCTAGCCATTTCTGTCTTAGAGGGAGCTGACCCAAAGTGAACCTTTGTTCCTTAAATTATGTATCGGGTGTTTTGACACAGTGCCGAGAAAGTAACTAAGACAGAAGCCAAGGTTCAGCCCCCTGGCCACACCTTACTACCCAGAGGGAGGTCCTCCACCATGCCGGCCCTGGATTTCATTAGCAATGTGCACTCAGAGACACACTGAGTCAGAGCAGGCTTCACCACCGCTGCCCACCATGGCAGCCCAGATCTGGGGCCATACTGGGCACGGGCAACTTCAACTGGGCCCCTGAGGACTGGAGTTCAGCCAACAACATAGCAACTCACTCTGAGGCAATGACCCAAGCACCAGGACTGAACACTAAGCATTTTCTGCCCCCCCCCCCCAAAAAAAAGCCTGAAAAGATGCAGATGGCGGTGTTGACAGAAAGGTATACACAGACACTGCAACCAAATACCTGGGGACCTTTGGCTACTTCCTGAAAGCCACTTGTTTCTCTGGAAAGGTCAGGGGCCTGCTCCAGCGCACTGAAGAGCCCAGTGCTGTTGGGATTTGGGTTAGGATTTTGCTTTCATGGACAAGTGCTCAAAATGCCAGATTGTTTGCATAGGTTGGTTTTTTAATGGCATCTTAGGATTCCTTCTTATACAAAAGCAAATTATACCAGGGATGTAGGATATCGTTAACTCAGCATCTTTTCATCTTAGGTTCTGGGCTGAGGACAGTCTAAACACAGTCTCAGATAGACAGAAGCCCATGCTATCTCCAGTATGACCCACATCTTCTAGGAAAGTCAGCTGCGGGGGATTAATTAACCCCGCTCCCTTGTTGCTTTTGCTTTGCTTTTACCAGCAAGGAATCTGCCTTGGGGTATAACTATTTCCCAGTACTAACCAATTCTGGAAATGGATTTTCTTTGCTGTATGGTAGATCCAGAGAACCTCAAAATGAGGAATAATCAAAAATCTTGCCTGAAAATCACTAGCTTCATGATCAATGTTGAAATGACAACTTAGGAAGACAGCTCAAAAAAGAAGTCCAACCTGGGAAACCATGGTCCAATCCTTTATTGATATCCACTACTAACCGAGGGTCATCATGGCTCATCTAAAAACCCTTAAGGGAATTATGGGCATGACCCCAGGGACCAATTTCTCAACCTATAATGTCCTTACCTCTAAACCCTTCATTTCTGGCTAGTGAAAGAAATGTCATTCTTGATTATTACCACTACAAATACAAATCACTATGACTTTTATGATAAACAATTCACCCACACATTCAAATGTCATTAAAAATGTACAAGGTCTCTGGCTTAAAAGTTCCATTTCTGGAAATATATCTTAAAGAAATAACAGGATGTGCATAATGATTTATTTTTGAGGGTATTCTTCACAGTGTTTATAGTAGCAAAACACTGGAAACACCCTAAGTGCCCAGTCAGAGAGAGAAACTGTTAAGTTTCCCTAGGCTTAGAACTCCTCCTGCAAGTTTTAGAAACTAAAAGTTATCTTGCTGAGATAGATTTATTTATACAAAGACCATGTTCAGTATAGATTTAATTTGCTCTCTTCAGAATCCAAACTTCAGGGATACATAAGTTCCACATATAAAAGTGTTTATTTTTAATTAAAACTAATTGCAGTCCTTGGATATACTTTAAATGCTACCTGGGTTACTTAAAATGCCTAATCTAAAGTAAATGCTAGGTAAATAGTTGATATGCTACATAGTTGAAGGAACTATGACAAGAAAAAGTATCCACATGATCAGCATGGATATAACTTTTTCTGGATATTTTCAATACATGGTCATTTGAACCTCAGATATGGAGTTCATGCATGCAGAGGGGCAACTGTATATGTTGAAGTATTTTTATACCATTTCCTTCAAGAGCATAGGAATTTAGTCTCACTTATTTTCTGCATTTTAATCATTGAACTTGCTTAATTTGGAAAAAAATAAATTACATAAAACCCTGTTCACTCCTCTCTCCTTCTAGTGGTTGATAACTACCCCTGCCCTGTAAGTTCATAACCAAACACTATTATAAATGATCACCATTAGTGGACAAAGTGAGGGCATCCTTCTCCAACCTGTCCATGGACACCACTGCTCCCGGCAGACTTGAAGGACAATTTGCAGTGGACAACCCAAGCCCTTGACATGCAACATGTGGCTCAGAGCCTGCTAGACTCCACTATCCTCATGGGGTCACCCCCAACCTATACCCACTCCCAGCCACCTGCTACTCCCTATAGCAATGTCACCTAGTGCTTAGAGGGTCTCCACTTGTCACCTGTTTGGGTACCTATCTGGGATGTTCTCACTATGTAAACACTTCTGAGGAACCCCTGGGTGGGGGACACACAGCAGGCCTGAAGCCTCTGTCCCTGGGATGTGATTTGGTCCATGTTGAACTCCACTGGGGTTCAGATTAGTGTGCTGGGGCCCAGATGTCTTAGTCTTGTCCCAGAATCTCCACAAAGAGCTCCTGGATAGTCTCTCTGCTTTCTTCCACGGCCCATCACCTCGCAGGACACCCTGCTGTCTGAGACAGGGCCTCACAAGGGCATGACCTTCTTCCCAGCTACACAATAAAGGGCAAGAGGCAGGGGACAGCAGAATGCACCCTAGCCCATGTGTCACCTTTGCCTATGTGCAGGCATGGCACTGCATCTGGGATAAGCCTCCACCTGCCTCTGGGAGACTGCATGGCTTAGAACTATCATATGGCCTTATGATTCCTCTTGCATGAAACTATGTGCAGAATCCCAGGACCTGAGGAAAATGCAGAAGGTAGAGTCCATAACAGAAAGAGCCAAGATCCACGGGGGAGGCAGCCATGGCCACAGTCCACAGACAAGTCTGTGACATCCAAGCCACATAAATGGCCAGAGAAGCAGCAAATGTTCCTGCCAAGAGAAAAGCAAGCCTCTTTAGGAGGGCTTGGCTGAGCTTGGAACCACAAGGTTGCTGACCTTGTGCAGAACCAAGGTTCACTGGCACAGCTGAGCCCTTCTTCTTAGCCAGAGGCACAAAGGACCTGTTGTTGAGGGAAAGCAAGAAATGCACAGAGCTATGGGAAGAGCACAGGCAGCAGGGTGGAGAGGTCGGCCTTGCGAACCTCGTTAGCAAGACTGAGCCTTATCATCGTGTCAGTCGCTCTCCCTCCTGTCACTGCAACAAAGTACTGGACACTTGTGACTTGAAAGAGGCTTACTTTGGCTCATGGCTTCAGAAGACTCAGTCCCATGGTAGGCTGGCTCTGGGAACACATGGCCTGGCAGAAGGGCCTGGTAGAAGAAAGCTGCTCATCTCAGAGTGGCCAAGAAGCAGAGGGAAGGGAGTAGCCCAGACACAGCACATCCTTCCAGGTCATGACCCCAGTGACCACTGCCAAGCAGGCCACACCTCCTGTCATCGCATTCAGCCATAAGCTCACTAACCCACAGATCCACTCAGGAGCACACACTCCACGATCCAATCACCTTCCCAAAAGCCTACAGGTAAACACAGGAGATGTGCACAGGACATTTTCTATCTAAACCCTAACAATGATATAGGAATGTCAGCATCATTAGAAATTTCTGAGAAACCAAAAGTCTTAAATTACATCAAGGATAGAAAGCTTGGGAAGAAAAGAACAGGGCTTTACTGGAAATCAGAAT